TCTTTTCTGACATATTCAGTGTTTTCTCGTCCTTGACACTTTCCATTGTTCTAGGGCTGGCAGCAGCAGCAGCAGCAGCAGCCGACACAATGTCGATGCAAACGCTGCAGGTAGGCGGTGTGAACCGAGGGTCAACGTTACTTGACACACAAATCCTGGTCTGATTCATTTATATGAATGATACGAGTCTGCAAAGCTACTCAGAAGCTCGCTTTCTTAAACAAATAGGCTACATTGTGAACCAATTCTAGAAATGAACACGGAGAAAATAAAAGGATAAATAAAAATAAAAAACAAACAACTAAACATCCGTACTGTGAAAACTACCTTCTTTGAAATATACAGCGGGAAAACAATCGTTATAATATCGGATATGTTTACGATTGGCCAATACTGACCGACCGATATATATCTAGTATTTGATTAGAATCACTTACCCCACCTTTAATGGGTTGCAAAACAATGGCTAACAACATTTACAGTCAAGCAGGTCGGTTAAAACTCTGTTTATATGACTATAAATTCAAATTTGAGTCTTAAATGAATTGGCACTGGATTGTCTTCTATCATATAATATTTCCACATGTTTATAGTGCTTTTATATTTGCATATTGCAGTACTTTAATGCCTCTACCATTTACCCTGTCACATGCTCAGCAGCAGCCAAACACATTCAGCTATTGATCAGCGAGCTTACATATCGTACACATTTCGTCTGAATCCTCTATCTGAAGCAGAGACGGAGACGTAAGCATGCTGCTAAGATCCCAAACACACCTACATTCACAGTGCAAGACACACCAACCCCACACATAAAGACAGGAAACAGAAAACACTGCTACATGACATGCTCCTCAAGGCCAACTGCTTTGATTTCACCTTCACATCGGAGGAAAGCGCTGTGCACACTCGCTCGCTCCGCCTCCCGAAAAAAAAAAAAACACCACAAGAATGCGTGAATTCCAACACGGCTTGAGCGGAAAACCAACGCTTGAAATGACAACTCTCCGGTGTGTGCGCCTTGTCTCGACAAGCAAAGCGCTATGCTGAAAGTGCACCCATGCCAAAAGAGAACACAACACTACAGGCATTACTTTTGTTTGTTAGTCACACACTGAAAACCAGTGAGGCAGAGCTTCCATTACTGTGTTTAATTGAGTTTAACGAAGCAAAAAACACACTTTTTTTTTTTTTAGTTGTGGGAACTTTTATCACACTGAGGGAGGACAGATCAATTCAGTACCCAAAAATCAATGGAAGCTCTTAATTTTTAGGCTTGTGCCGATGGGAACAAACACACCTCACACCCGTAGCTGTGGCTTAATCAGTCGGACAATAAACTGCACTTTTTGAGCAGAGATGTTGTGAATCAGGTAGCTGGCAGTGATTTATTAAAAGCCTCTATGTTAACCTGAGTATCTTAAAAAAAAAACACTGAACTGTTTAGCTACCGGCACAAGCCTACGTGAACCCGTCTTGGACTTTGGATTAGTTGAGAACAGCAGGACAGACTCCCCCATACCAGACAAAAGGGATGAGAACTGTTGGTGCTGAAGCAAAAGAGGTTTGGCTTACTTGGGGGAGCTCCAGACAGGTTTATCTGAAACCCTAAGAGGTGAGAAGACAGCTTTTATTTTCTTCATATTTCACCTTCAGTTTGGCGAAGTCTTCTTCAAGAGGCGGCTTTTGTTAGTGAGACTCAGATGTTCCCTCATATCTCCTCTCCCTGTGTCACCCAACAAAAACCAGGACTAATCACAGAAGTTGGCCTTGCTCTGCTGACATGTCAAACATACCGGGGGGGGGGCTTTCTATCACGGGTTAAATGCATCAGCATGCACGCATTTATGAGACGAGCACTTTAGAACGGTGAAGTAATGTCATGTGTCAGTCGGTGGAACGGCAAAATGAATGAAGGAGGTAAAATAACCTGCAGGTAAAACTTAAAAAAAGAAAAAGAGGAGGGAAAGACGGGGGACGGGGGGGTCTACAAGAATTACCGTTATGAAATGGTTTTGCAAAGGAAAACAGAATCACAGATTTAATAAAACATTTTTGTTGGGACAGCTCACCATCAGTCAGCATCATGTCAGGAGTTAGGGATCATTAGTTAGCAGCATTAAGGTAAAAGGTGGAAAATGGTCAGGAGGGGACGAAGAGCACAGGATTATACAACAGAGATAAATGTCAGATATCTGATACTGAATAAATCATTTAAAGCATTTAAAGCCTGAACTATTAAATACAGATTATGGGGTATACAGTTAACATGCATCATTATAAATCCAATTTTTACTGATTCATTTAATCATCACATGGAAGTGAAATCAAGAAATAAATCAACCAAACCGAATAACTATATAAACTACATAAACTACATTTAACATCATCACTCAGGGCTTTTCTTAAACTAGTAGTGTAAAGAAATAACTAATGGAGCTTCATCTGTTCTGGGAAGCAAAAATCACCAGTTAATATGTCAACTTAATTAATTGTATTGCTCATTAAAACTGCTTCTCCTTCTCTGGGGAGTGAATGAAATGTGTAGCTACCTGTTTCACTCTGACATCTCCAGCAGGTGTTGGACTCTGAAAGTTAAAATGAGACATTGTTTGTGCAAGAAATAAAATTAAAACCACACACAGCATTGACAATGGACGGAAACCCATTCAACTTTACAATCAAATTAATCAATTCCACTTGGTTTTGCATCTTGGCGACGACACACAGACGATGTGACTTCACATGATGTATTAATTGTGGATGAATTCGGCGTGTTTAACACTAACGTAGCTCTCAAACTGAATTCTGTGTGGAAGAAGAATGAGGTTTGATTTAAGAAATACCCAAACGTTGTGAATGCCAAGGTAGCTGTAATTAAAATAGGATCAGATGAGACTTTATTGATCCCACATGGGGGGGGAATTCACTCACTACAGCAGCTCCAGATAAGAAAATACATATTAAATAAAACACAGAACAGAAAAAGACAAGATAAACAGCTTTTTATATACAGATGTGATGGATAAAGAACATTGCACAGGTCACAGCAGGAGGTAGTGGAAATCTTCTGCATGTCATAAATGATATATATGTATGTGGAAGCTGCACAGTGCAGGTATTAAAGTGTCTTTACAGAGACACACAAACGATGACACATTAATTAAATCCCCGCCGAATAGTGTCTCTGTACGGTTTGTAAGATTTAAAAAATAAATATTTAATATATGACCATTATGACAGACGCATAATTAAAATTGCCTTTTTTTTGAACGGAGTTTGGCGAGATAGCAATAGGACGACTGAACGTAACGAAGATACAAAACGTCAAAATGGTAGCAAGGACATTAAACACAATTAGAGAGGTGAAACAAAACAACCCCATCTCTAATCCATCCACCAACAACCAATACGGGATGGTGAACTACTGGGAAAAACACTCGCCCGATCCCTTGGGAATACAATCCCAATCCTGGGAGTAGCCAGAGAGCCTCCCACAGCTCCCACCAACCCCCCACTCCTCTCCCAGTCTGCTAACATTAACCTTCACTGCAGCAGAATGAGAGCCACCCAGCTACCAGCAGACATTTTTATTCCCCCCCCCCCTCTCTCCAGCTCCACTCACCCTGCATGCTGCTCATGGTGGTAATGTGCTGGGACTGGGACTGGGACTGGGACTGGTGGTGGTGGTTTGCTGCGGGTCCCGCGTTGTTGCCGCCGCCGCCGCTGTTGCTGCTGTTGTGGCTGCCAGGTGTTGTTGAGTTGTTCGGGCTTGGAGTCGCCATTGTTGTGTGTTTGAATTCCATCAGCAGCACCGGAGGCTGCAATGCAGATAACCGCGGAGCGCAACTTCAACCCTGTTTTTACCCCTCCCGGCCACGATAGTTAGTCGCCTCGCTTTGACGGGAGCAGCCGGCGGGAAGTGGAGGAGTTTATTCAACGGGAGCTGAGAGGTTCAAATGTTAGTGGTGTTGTTTGAGGTGAGAGAGGAGTAACGTATACACACACAAACACACACACACACACACACACACACACAGAGAGAGAGCGAGGCTAGGCTAACGAGCCGAGGATCAGCTGACCGACTGACACTGACAGCCACACACACCGGATGTTCCCCTGCTGCGCCCTTCACAATAAAGCACCGACGCGGGTGTTTTATCCAACCTGCAGTAAAAAAAAAAAAAAAAAACAACAATAAAGGGATCGATACAAGTGATTTATTATAATGTGAGGTAGAGCTACAGCAGCTGCAGATACAACAACGTTTATTTATTTATTATATATTAATAGAATAGACAAATACAAGATATGTAATGAGAATATGATAAGAGACATACTCTTATTTTGTATTATTTTTATATTCCTATTTTCTATTTCTGTTGTTAGATATTGTAATATAATACATATTTTTAACATTATTATTGTTATAATTATTTCTATTTCTTTAGGAAGTTGGGAGCAACTTCAAAAAACTGTAACGAAACAAAATTCCTCCCCAGGATCAATAAAGTATTTCTGATTCTGAATAGCTTGTATACCTGACAGTATATATATATATATATATATATATATATATATATATATATATATATATTATTGTCACAAAAGCAAAGAAAAACAAAGATTTAACCAGATAAACATTTGGGAGGTTGACAACATAACAAATGCAAACTTAAGGAATTGGAGCAACAACAAGAACAACAAGGAATATAACTTAAAATGATTTGATATAATTCACTTATGCACGGATTATTCAAAATCTCAAAGAATCAAAGGGAAGAATTTTTTTTAATCGTTATTTTTTTTATTTCTTATTACAGTAGATAATCAATATTTATAATATGCAGGTGTATTACTGTATATATTTATATTCTATAAACAGTATATACACGTAAATAATATGTAATACATAAAATATTCAGAATAGAAATTGAAAATCACAAATAAATACATTTATAGTTTTACTTTATTTTTATTCCATTAAATAATCAATAAACACCTTTATTGTTGTTTTCAGCTGTTGGTTGTTTGTCCCTTTATTATCTGACCTATGTAATAACAGTTAATATAAAATAAATCATATTTAAAAGAATTAAAAGTATAAAGTTTGGATCCGATAACAATTTATTTCCAATCCATAAAGAAACCTTTTAAGAATGAGCTGCCACTTGTCATTTTATTTTGGAAATAACTAACGGAAGTCGCGTCTCCGCCTTGACGCCACCTTGACGTCACTGCGGTCGTGGAGAATGTGCGC